TCACGAACAGATCTAAGTCATATGAGCTGGGAGAAGGGGAGCCCCTGTGTGATAAGTAATGAGGCAGGAAATGAAAACACTTCTCCCACTCATGAATCCTGGACAGTCTTAATGTTGCCACATCAAAGGCCGTCTAACTACATTCTGTGGAACTTTGCAGTTCCTTGATAGGGTCTTTGAGAGGAAATCTGACGGATAATTTTTTTGTAGCTATTCTATTACTTCTAAACCATCCCCAGTGCAGGGATTTGAAAAAGCATGTAAGAAAAAGAATAGGTACTGATTGAACACATACTGTATTCTCATACAATATTTAACCCACAGTGACCTCTGAATTATATACTAATATTACCCCATTCAGCAGAGGAGGAAACTAAGGCTGAGAGAAGGTAAATTATTTACCAAAGGCTACACAGCTGATACTTTTTGAACCCCAGACTTGAACCCAGGTCTAACCATTAACGAAGGACTGGGTACTTTACACTATATCATGATTGACTCAGGGGCCTTAAGTTCTTAGTGTTATAGTGTCCATAGCCTCACACAGAGGTCATTGATCTGTGCAGCCACATGTGGCCCCACCTATCTCTCCATCAAGAAAGAAGTGATGATGATGGGCAAACTTGTACTGTAAACTAATTCCTTCTACTTTCCTGTGTCCGCAACTTAGAGATCCTTACTAAAACCTCTTTGGAGGGTTAGACTTGGCAGGTACTTTAGCCATCATCTTCTACAAACCACAGCATGTAGGGGTAAGAAAACAGAAGTCCAGAGAGGTGAGGTAGTTACGCAAGGTCATAGAGCCTCTATACAAAGAGTATTAAGGCAGTCTGACTTCATGCAAAGGCTGGTGGGTCACCTTTTTTTAGTCTGTATGGGCCTGGCAATTAATCAAAACATTCAAAACACTATAGCAATCCCAGATCTTTGAGTAATTATCTGTGAATATTATATAATTGTTAAAAGTATTCATTTAAACTTTTAATAACATGAGGAAAGGCTCATAATATTTTAAAATTTTATGAAACAAGATATAAGCTTGTGTGTAGCATGAGCCCAAGTTGTTTACCTATATGCAGATTTAAAAGATAGGAAGTATTATTATTATTATAATTATTATCATAATTATTAGCAAAAATTACTGGTTACCTTTGCGTGATGGGATTACAAGCAATTTTTATTTTCTTCTTTGTGCTTGTCTGTTTTATGTGACATTCTGTAACGAACATGTATTATTTTTATAGTCTGAAAAAGCTATACTTAAAAATTTTTTTAACATCTTTATGAAATGTAATTCACATGGCATAAAATTCACCCATTTGAAGTGTATGATTCAATTGTTTTAGTATATTCACAGTATTGTGCAATCATCACCACTATATAAATTTAGAACATTTTCATTACCCTGAAAAGAAATGCCATACCCATTTGCAGTCATTCTCCGTTCTTTATACTATGTTCCCCAGTCTGAGGCAACTACTAATCTACTTTCTGACTATATAGATTTGCCTATTTTGGACCTTTCATATAAATGAAATCACACAACACGTGGTCTTTTATAACTGGCTTCTCTCAGTATAATGTTTTCGAGATTCATCCATGTTGTAGCATATATCAGTACTTCATTCATTTTCCCTGTTGAATAATATTCTGTTGTATGGATATACCACAATTTATTTATCTATTCATCAATTTAAGGAGATTTGGATTGATTCCATTTTTTGGCTATGATGAATGATGCTCCTGTGAACATTCACGTACAAGTTTTTCTGTGGATATTTCATTTATCTTGGGCATATATGAGTGGAATTCCTGGGTCATGTTGTAACAGTTTTTTTAAACTTTTGAGGAACTGCCAGACTGTTTTCCAAAGTGTCTGCACACTTTTACATCCTCACCAGCAATACATGAGAGTACCAACTTCTCAACATCCTTGCCATCACCCATTGTTTTCTGTCTTTTTTATTTTAGCCATCCTAATAGGTGTGAGTGGTATTTGTGGTTCTGATTTGTATTTCCCTGCTGGCTCATGATATTGAGCATCTTTTCATGTGCTTATTGGTGATTTGTACATCTTCTTTGGAGAAATGTCTATTTAAATACTTTGCCCTTTAAAAAGTGGGTTATTCATCTTTTTATTATTGACTTGTAAGAGTTCTTTGTATATTTTGAATACCAATCCCTTATCAGATATATAATTGGCAAGTATTTTCTCCTATTCTGTGGGTTGTATTTTCACTTTTTGATGATGTTCTTAGAAGCAGAAAAGTTCCTAATCTTGAAGAAGTCCAATTTATCTTTTTTGTCACTTACACTTTTGGTGTTATGTCTAAAAAAATCATTGCCTAAATTCACAAAGATTTACTCTTATGTTTTTTTCCAAGCGTTTTATACATCCTCCTACATTTAGGTCTATGATCCATTTAAAATTAATTTTTAGGGCTGAGCCCATGGCGCACTTGGGAGAGTGCTGCGCTGGGAGTGCAGCGGCGCTCCCGCCGCGGGTTCGGATCCTATGTAGGGATGACCGGTGCGCTCACAGCGCTCACTTGATCCATTTAAAATTAATTTTTAGGGCTGAGCCCGTGGCGCACTTGGGAGAGTGCTGCGCTGGGAGTGCAGCGGCGCTCCCGCCGTGGGTTCGGATCCTATGTAGGGATGACCGGTGCGCTCACAGCGCTCACTGGCTGAGTGCGGTGCGGCCAGTCTCAAAAAGGGCAAAAAAAAAAAAAAAAAAAATTAATTTTTATATATGGTATAAGATAGGAGTCCAACATTATTCTTTTGTGTGGAGATTTTCAGTTGATCCAGGACCATTTGTTGAAAAGACTATTCTTTCTCTGTTGAATTGTCTTGACATCCTTTTCGAAAATCGAGTGAACATAAATGTAAGAATTTGTTTTTGGACTCTCAATTATATTCCATTGAACTATGTATCTGTTCTTATGCCAGTATCACACTATCTTGATTACGATAGCTTTTTAGTAAGTTTTGACACAGGGAAGTGAGGGTTCTCCAACTTTGTTCTTCTTTTTCAAAACTGTTTTGGGTATTCTTGTTTTGGTATTTCCACATGAAATTTAGGATTGACTCATCAATTTCTGCAAAAATGGCACTTGGGATTTCAATAGGGAATGTATTGAATCTATAGATCAATTTTAGGAATATTGCCATCTTAACAATATTAAGTCTTCCAATTTGTGAACACAGATACCTTTCCATTTATTTGTTTTCTTTAATTCCTCTTCTTTAATTCCTTTCCTTGATGCTTTGTAGTTTTCAATGTGTAAATCTTGTATTTCTTTTGTTAAATTTATTCCTCTGTTTTATTCTTTTTGATGCTTTGTAAATGCAATTGTTTTCTTAATTTCATTTTTAGAGTGTTTGTTGATATTAAAAAATACAATTGATTTTTGTGAATCCCTTAATATTTTCTTTATACAAGATAATGTTGCCTATGAATAGAGATAGTTTTGCTCTTATTTTCAAATCTTGATTACTTACATTTCATTTTCTTGCCTAATTGCCCTGGCTAGAACCCCCAGTACAATGCTGAATAGAAGAAGTAAGAGCAGACATTCTTGCCTTGTTGCTGATCTCAGGAAGAAAGCACTCTTTCATCATTAAGTAT